TCTAATATCTTAAAAACATATTACAATAAGGGAATAAACGTATGAATGAGTTAAATTGATTACTTAATGCAAGATGTAGTTAAGATACCAAAATTATAACTACTTAGGTACCTACTTACCTACCTATCAGGTATTTTAAATTATATAAACAACGTAAAATTACGTTAACAATTTTGTTAATAAAAAATACTATACGTAATGGGACCAATAAGTACATTCAATACAATATTATATTGTGGCATAACAAGTCTTAACGATTGAAAAGAAAGGGAAAGTAATCATTTTGACTTGAGGCCAATACGAATTGCCTTTACCATCATAATACATACAACAATAACACAGGGAAATAGTAGTCAAATGATTTTTCATAAACTGAAGATAAAATCAAACTATCTAGCTCACTTAAACTTCAAGATCTTCCCCCTGAAAAAAAATGTTTTAAATTAATCGATTTTGAACCACCCCACAAGCGGCTAAGACAAGAACGTAGTTCATTTTTCATTACTTTCCCCGATCAATTAGACAAGAAAAGTAGAAAACAACTTTCTGCTCGAATAATTCGACATGACGATTTCGTAAAACGTCAAATTGCGATACAAATTTAACAACGGACGTGTTCACTCCTAAAAAACAGAAAAGAGAAAAACGTAGAGAAATCCGGGACCGAGCGATTTTCAACGGCTTGTGTCGGCGAACACGAGGAGATACCCTGAACGGACATTATGTAATAACTCGGCAGAGACGACAACGGCAAGGCGTCTATAATATACAGATCCCCGCGACGTCATTGCCCATAACCTACCTACCACACGGTTACGGCGGACATGTACAGGAACGAGTCAAACAACGGAAACCGTACAATTCATACAAAAGGTGTGAGCATGACAATAAGCACACACACGAGGAGGACGACACCGTTCGCCTTGTCCGCACCGCACACGCAAACAACAACAAACAATGAAATCATAACCTCAAAAAAACATACGTACGCATGCCATATGTGGAACGCATATTATCATCATCTTATTATATAAATATAAGTAATACATTTATAAATATCACGTCAACCGCGAAACGTGCGTAATGATCGTAAGATGGATGATGATAATAATAATAATAATACTCATGTGATACGATTTTGTGCGATATTATTACAATATTATGCCCAAACGAACGTGCTTCGGACTTGTTATTATTGTTGTAGACCGCGGGGCTTGATGATATAACGTTCGCGCATTGGCAGGACCGGGAGGGGAAGATACAAACAACGTCTCTCCGAGATAATAATAATTTCATATTACGGGCCGAGCGCGTTGGGCATGCGTTTTCTGGGCCAGACCTTGTGCGCAAGGGCGAAATGCGAATTCGCGTTCGCCACCGCCGCCGTTTTCTAACCTTGAAAATCGGTCTAGCGCGCGCAAACACACACGCGCCCACTGACGACGTAGACTCGCTCGAGAACAAAAGCGTCGGCCGACCGGTAGACAAACTCGATGATAAACGTGGTGGGGGAACACACTCAGACTTACTATATTGTAACGCGCACGTGATGGGTATAACAACATTATTATGCCGTACAAGTATGTAATATTTATACGGATTTTTCACGATCGACGGCGGTGAGCACGATCGTGTGTTAACTGTGAAATAGGTACTCTACCGATCGCTCACCATTTCCGTGCCCATGTCTTTCATGGTTGTCTGTTTGAACTCCTGCGACAGAATCATGCGTGTCTCCTCGGCGACACACGGCGGTGTGTGTGTGTGTGTGTGTGTGTGTGTGTGTGTGTGTGTGTGTGTGTGAGTGGTTAGTCTTCTACCCTACCACGACCACATGTACCCTTATATAGCACCGTGACTGGGTGTGATCGACGCGCGCGAAACACAAGACTCGCGTGCACATATGACTATTACACTACGGTTATTATACACAGACACTCGCTAGAAGACGTCAAATTATATTTGAACACTCTATTTACACTGATGCGATCACGGGGAGGGGGAGAACCGTTTGCCAAATGCGAAATGTGTCCGGCTAATCGATAGCAGTAAATAATAATAATAGTAATAATAATAATATTGCAGCGAAATCACACGGTTAACGGACGCGCCGAGACGGCAACATTTCGCACGCGAACACGGACACACACTGACAGTGGCGCGGTGGCTGAGGGCTGCGGCTGCGGCTACCGGTCGCCCGCCACCCACTACCCACCGAACACCATACCCGGTTGAAAACACTAGCGCTCCTCGCGCGCGCCGGCACAGCGGAATATTTTTACAATAATAATAATATTAAAGTACTATACAATATTATATTATTTTATTATTATTTATATATTTTGTATTTGTATCCCTCCAGACGAGAGGGATACAAAACATTCGTGCGCCGACGACACCTAATCTCGTTTGTCTTTGAAATTTGAATAATATTGTTTTGCTTCGTATGCGCGACGCGATCAAATTACGATAGTTATAAATTATAATATTATGGTCTACAACAACGACAGTCGATAATAATAGGGACTTAATAAAACGTTATAGTCGATCACCGTCAATTTGTGAGACTTGTACCACTGTTGCTGTAGCCGTAAATCGTGATCTGTCGTTCCGGCGCTATTATTACTTTCGACATTTTTACAGATATTTCTCGAAAAATAATATATTATATTATAATGTTGTTATAAAAATAGTTAGTATATAATATTATAATATTGTTATAATATAGTCGTAGGCCGTAACAGAACGGTAGAAAAAACCATTGCACTGGAACGCACGACGCGCGTGCGCGTTTGCGTCGGTACAACAGGTAGACACGACACGCGCGTGTCAGGGGACCGGGAGACACCGGTGCGGCGGCGGCGCGTAGTCGTCATGATATGTGACGGGCGCGGATAAATTGGCGAGTCGCGAGTCGCGACGGACGTCGGACAATCGCAAAACGGACACCGCGTGGTTCGCTCTGGTCGTCGACACTCGACGTGTTCAACGCGATAAAAACCGACGCGGCATTTAAACATTTACAATAATATTATTATTGTGTTGCACATGTGGTGAATGGTGATGTCAGACCACGGTGACAACTAATCACCAACATTGTTCATTTCAAATTCGGTGACGAACGGCATGCCATTTTTCACGTATAAAATTCCAACTATGTATTCCTATGATAATCGGCCTTAATCGAAGGCATACTGCGTACGAAAAGTACAAAAATGCAATTATTTTTTTCAGAGTAATTCCACAAGATTAATCTCCCTACACTTCATTTAAATTTATTAAGATAGTATATAACTTATAGATACTTAAAACTACGTTTGCAGGAAAACAAATTATGAACAAATGATTTCGCTTTATTCTGTTGCTAATTGCTATGGTAACCGTAAATAACTCTCGATGACGTCATTTGCGGTATAGTCGCTCAGTTAATATATTATTGACACTTATCTCTGTATGCCTGAATCGTCTGATAATAATATCATTATATATGATTTATATATACATATTACTATGTAGTATGTACAAACAACTAATAATTAGTAACCACGAATATAATAATATGGTATAAATGAACTTGAGCTACTTTCAATTGTTTTAAAGTAAACTTCTGAATAATAAGAATAATACACCTAGTTTGGATAAAAAATAATAAACCAACACAAACATGTAACATAATCCAATCGCTAACGCTTATCTTTTATAGTTATAAAAAACGATGCAAGCAGTTGCAGGTACTAGGTACTTCGTTTTATATTAATTTTTTTTCAGAATTATAAAATTAATGAAATGTTGTAATATATTATTATTAAACAAATTATATCCAGTTATCAATATAATTATGCTAAATGTGCAGATACTACCTCATAAAAATAAAACATTCATTTATTTTACAGAATTATCGTTTGATATCATAAAAGAATTTCTGAATAAAATCAACTGTTTTTAACTGTCCAGCATATTTTTAATATATTACCAAATAAATCTAATGCTCATGAAATATATCTAAAAAATTAATAACATCCATCAAAATATTTTCCAATTTTGTTTATCAAACATTTTTACTCATTGTTATTAAATCATTAATTTTCCCTACACCATTATTCAACGTTACAATTTTCAACACAAGTGAACAAAAATTTTGCAATGTTAAAAAAATTTTACTTATCGGATTTAAAAATGAAAAATAACAAGCATGCTTCATATGTTTAGTAGAATAAACAGAATAAAAATTGGCTGAGGACTATAACAGTAATATAACAGTATTCAATCATTAAGTAATAATATAATAATAATAAATAATAAATATAATGAAAAATTTTATGTTAAAATATTGAAAACTAAATTTAACTCGTTTTCAAACGTAGTATGTGCAAATTTTTTTGTATGGACTCCTCAAAAATGTTTAATATCCCATACTCCCACACGTTGATTCATGTTGTAAGAGATTATTTAGAATTTCAATAATAAATATTTTGTTTAACTTAAATTTGTAAAAGGATTTAAATAGTGTTTGCTTACATAATTAAGTATATACATATTAATATATAAAGATTGTTTGTAAAAACCATAATCTCAGTAAATTTATCAAACTTAAATAAACTATAACACATAACATAAACCAAGTAAAGTATTTTTAAAGGTCTTCAAGTATTTAAAAAATTTTATAAAACCAAGCCAATTTAATTACTTTTCAGCAAGATTTTACATACTTACAGTAAAATATAAAATTTAATTCAAAACATAATATTAGTTTAAAAAATTTAGAAATTCAAAATTTAAATACTAAATGAGCCGCGATAACTCAAAGTGTTTTTTTTTCCTTGAAGAGTGGATTAAGTTATTTTTTAGGTATATATCTTAAAAAATAAATAAGCCTAATTTATTCCTATCATTTTTGTTATTCGAGTTATAGACTCAACTGTAAAATATAATAAATGTAACAATTTTTATTTTAGAACATTATAAGTTTAAAACATAAAATAAACCAATAAAATACTTACTTCTCCATTTCGCATGTGTAAGTCCATAGTATGTTGCTGTTGTGTTGACATAATTGCATGTGCTGAATTATGTGCCATTGAAGAGTTTGCTAAATCTGCCATATGTTGCTGATAGGGATGCAATCCTGGGGGTGCTCCATAAACATACTGTTCTGCACCACCTTCTCCAGACTAAAATATAATGAAAAAGGTATACTGTAAGTTGCAATGTAAACCTATAAAAATGTCTTTGATTTGATTTTGGAACTATTAAAATACTAAAAACTATTATAAAACACAATAATGATGGATTAGTGGTACAATAAAAAATGTACAATATTGCTGCCAAATGCCTTAAATAATTTAGACGTGCAACAATAATTTTAATAGATGAAAACATATGCATGCTAATATTTTAAATAAAGCCATACGCCTTTAATTGTAACAATAGAGGAAAATTGGTTTTTTTTTAAATGTACGAAAAATTATATAAATAGCTGTTCAAATTTGTTTGAACCAGAATTCAAATAAAAATATAATAGAGGTTAAAAACTTCAACAATATTTATAATTAAGTACTAAATATTAAATATAAAAAACTTATTTGACTAGAAAAATATTGAAAATAATATATCTAAATGTCCATAATGTCAATATTATTTATTAATTTTTTTTTTGTGTGAAAAAACTGTCACCATTATCAATTACAGTTTATGGCATAAAATAGAAATTGTTTATTTTGTTCTCTGAAAAAAATAAAAATTATAAATGGTTTTCACACAAGTGAAACATAGCAATAAAAACTAAGTAAAATACTAAAGTAAGTTAATGGATTTTTATGAATATAATAAATTCAGATAATAATAAATTGGATCTTGATCAATTAGAGGTGTTAAACCTATCTACCCAAATAAATATAATATAAATGTTTAGTTATTATTAATATTTCTATTTTCTATACAGTTATTTAATAAGTTTTGTTTAAATAATAGATCCATTTTGAATGAATTATCATTTGTTTTCTACAAAATATATTTAATATTTCATATTTTAGATAATCATCAGATAATATAGAAAGAAATGTTATGTCCATTTATCAAAGTTGGGGGAAGTAAAAAGTGTGCACATTGCACATAACACCTAAATGCACCACAAAACACAAACACAAATTGGTATTCTTGTTGTAAGCGGTATACTGCACACTTGTCATCAACCGCACATCTACCAAGTCATTCCCACCGATTTGACTAGCGATTAAACTTTATCCTAATCTTAGTCCACTCCAATTTTAATAATATAATACCTACCTGGGTCTAGCAACAATCATACCTGTAATTTTAATCATATGAGATAATCAGTTACAATTAAGTTTATGCTGAACTCACGTAATATATATGTTATTCTGTTTTAACACTATATTAGCCAAAAATTTAAATTTAATTAGTCAGTGGGAGGAAAATACCATTACCATTTTTAAGAAAAAAAGAGTTATTCAAAATTATACTCTTTCTTGTGGATACTGTGGTTCTCAAATATAATTCTATACTAGCAAAGAATGGAGAAAAAATTAAACCATGATAATATGATGTACCAATAGAGGTTGCCAATGAATTCAGTCTGTCCGTAAGGGTAACAATTTTTTCATTACAAAGATAAAAACGGTAAAAGTAACAGTGGTTTATCAATGTCCCACATTTTAGAACTGGCTTATTATTGCTAACTAAAAAAGAAATAGCAAAATAACTGAGCATGGAAGTTATATAATGTATAACTGGATGTGTTGGACATACCAGTAACTGCTTTTGGGGAGGTACAAATATTACTGTTCAAGTCGGTGAATCTGTAAGGCATGATAAAAGAAAGAAGAATAGAAGGTGATTGTTAGAGCTAATATTGTTACTAAAAGTGTGGATGTAGATGGGTTGCTCAAATGAAGAGGAACCTGATTTTAATAATCAAAATTATGGCAAAAAACTTACTAGTTCGTGGGTGTTTAGTATATCATTGTATCAAAAATATGAAAACTATGTTGTAAAGGTAATAACTAATAGTTTGTAGTAAAAAAAGACATTACACGGAATAATTTATTCAAATTTGAAATTTGAGAAAGACACTCAGATAAGATGTTAGGAGATTAAGGGTATGTACATAAAACTGTCAACCATTCCTATCTTTACTCCCATCATATTTAGCAGAATGATGAGGAGTCTAAAAAATGATGACTAATTCAAATGTTTGTAAAAGATGTCAAATCATATTATTGTAATATATATAATATTTGTTGATAGGTACATAATGAATATTTATAAATATATTATTTTTTTTATTATTACTTCTAGATTTATGTATTTAATATTTATTCATATTTTCATTAAATATAAGAAATTTGTGGTAGACCTCATATGACGTATAGAAATGTGCAGTATTCCGCATAAGACAAGAATACTCACTATTTTATTTCCAAAAATATTGCCATATACAAACTAAAATAATCCAGGTTATCTCAAGACTTAAATTTTAGACAGAAAATGATGCAAGCAAGAAAATATATTGATATTCTCTGTAGATTTTTTAATTTTATAATAATTTACATCAACGTTTCTCAACCTGTGGTAAGCGTACTACTAGTGTTACGTGAAAGGCTCGTAGGAGGTACGCTAAGGAAATTCACTTCATAAAAAAAATGGAATGGACTATTATTCACAAAGAAAAATGTTTTGGTTTATTTGATATTAATAATAATATAAATAACAATTGTATATATTTAATTTTCTATTTATGAATTAAATGCTTATAATATCATAATTTAGTAGTTCCTAAAAAAAATAATTTTCATACATTTAAAATAACAAATAACATATTATTAGTTTTTGATGAGGAAAAAAAAATTAATTATTGGTCAAGTGGTACATGAAAAATTTGAAACTGTATAGGTGGTACGTTGTAAGTGGATATACAAAGGTTGAGAACCGCTGATTTACATGATGTATATGAATTAAAATAATAATAACAATTTTATGAAATACTTGATTTTATTAAACAATTATCATTAATTCATTATTTATCACTATATAATATTAAAATGACCCAAACAGGGATTCATTTTAGGGAGAGACTCTGAATTTGAAAACAATTTCTATTTTGGTAGGTCTGGAAGTGTAGATGAATGGTGGTGTGGAGAGGAGAAGGTTAGGTTAATTAGGTTTATGAGTTAAGTCTTTTGGAGTTATTTGTTTCTTCCAAACTGAAAAAAGATTTGATTTTTTTTACCGTCAAATCTAGACCATAGGTACTGTTTTCAAAAATTCCATACGGGTAATATTTTTGGATTTACCTATATTTAGTTTTTGCTGTTGACGTATTAATTATATTGCTTTATATATTTTATTCTTTTTAGGTTTGAGGTAACTGTTTATTTGTATAGTACAAAAGTTGAAAAACTCATTTTTTTAAATTAATATTATGATACTATTTGTAAAACTGTTTGTTGAACAAATGTGTATGGAATGATTTGCAATTATTTTTTAGCTCTATATAAACTATCATTGTAATAATTGGACCATGCTGTGAATGGAAACATTATTTTCAGAAATATAATTTTTAGAATATTATAAAACAATAACACAAAACCAGAATTATAACTAGTGGTTCTCAAATCTCAACTATAATATTGAAAGAAAAACGATTTAGCGGAAACAAAAACTAAACCTTTTTTCATTTTGGCGGAAACCAAAATGTAGTTTTTGGTAAAAACAATACACGCCCAAAATTTTACATAACAAATTCAATTATTAACCTTTTATTTATAGATAAGACATAAAAAATTAAACTCATATTAAATATTTATTATTATTATTATATATATAATATTATTTGTAGGGGGTTACAACCCTCCCGAGTCCCTACAAGTTGTGCCCGTGTATTTTAATATTTTAACTAAAATACATTTAAAAATGTACACCACATTTCACTAGAATTGCATATATTATTTTACTTACTTGAGTATTTACTTTAAAATTTCATAAATTGAATTTTCAAAAAAAAAATGTTGTTACCTAGGTAAACCAATTTCATTATTCTTATTTTAAAATAGAAAAAATATGAATAATTGAATAAGTCTTTAATTTCTTGGAATAGCTTTAAAAATTAAATAATTTTAGTTTAAAATATTTATATTATAGTTTATAAGCTATTTATACCCAATTAACTAATAAAAAACTGTGTCCTATCTACGTGCGTAAAAAATTCTCTTTTTAAAGTTTTGCAAATCATAATATAATAAAACCTTTCTAAGTAAACAAAAATATATGAATAAAGCAACAGTTTTTTTAAATTCTCACTTTAACTAATATTGGTTGTAATTGATATTGTACATTTGGTACTTCAGATATCTGAGGTGGAGGTTGAGACATTTTCGCAGAGAAATATTTCCATTTCTCCTGCATCTTAAACATAAATAACAGTCAATCAAACCTCAAATCCTACTTTTTATCCTATATTATATTTTGTATTATAAGTGACATCTATAAAAATAACAATATATTAACTTACTTGCTCTAAAAAACAGTCCTCAGAGGTTGCTGGCCACCTAGGCTGTGGGAGTTTAGATGGTAATGGAGCAGATTGTAATCCATATTCTTGTGATTCACCTGATGCACAATCAAATACATAATTGACAATTGGTTCTTCTTGTACTGTTTGTCGTAATACATTTTCTCCACTTGGTTCATTCTCACTTAACTGTTGTTGATGCTCCTAAAATAGTTAAGTTGTAAATATTTTGGTGCATAGAAAAATATCATAAACATACAATTTTGTTTATACTATTAGCAAATACAATTATTTGTAATATATTAATATGAAAATATATTATAACATAAAATACAAATGCATATGAGTGTGTTAAATCTTTACATTAATATAAACAACTTACTTGCAAATGATTACCACTGTTATTCAACACTGTATTATTTGTGCTGGAAACAGGTACATTCCCTGCGCCTAACCACTTCATTTGAAATTGTAAGAAATCTGAAATTGTTTTATTTTTTACTTTATAATTTTATAATAATAATAATAATATAAGTATGGATATGAATACTAGACCCCACCGAGAGAACTCGTGTGGGGGCAATGATATTAAAAATAATATTCATAGTATATGATAATATAATATAACTAATTTATAAAAACCAAATAAAAAATGTAATATCACTAGATAATAGTTATAATTTACTACAGAATACAAATCAAATGAATATATTTAGGTATGATACAAATATATAAGTGTTTTAGAATTTATTGAAATATTTGAAATATTTATAGAAATATAGTATACCTAATATGGTTTTATAAATAAATTGAATATTATCATTAACTAATATTTATATAGGTAATCAAAAGTACCTACCAACAAAATATAAAATACAACATCCATGAAACAAGCTGAATATAAAAATAAGATATACCTAATATTCTCATACCTACAGGCAATAAGTAACTCTTGGAATTTATATAAATATAATTTATTCCTTAAATAGTTTGGTTAACTCATTTAAAGATTCAACTTATTTTACGTTAATTAGATTTTAGAACTCATATAATTAAACAGAACATATACCTAATGTATTAAGTACTAGAGCACTCTATTTATATAATACATACCTACTATAAGTATAAGTTTATACAAGTACCTACCTACAAAAAATGTGTGAATTCAATTTTAAAAATACTAAAATATGTATCAACAAAGAATATTAAAGAACCAGCAATAAACTCAACAAGATTAATCTTAAATACAATTTTATTTTTAGAATTCCTCTTAGGTACTAACTTATTTTGGGTTATAGGTATTTGGTCTTCAAATGAAATAAATTAAAATAGTATATTGTTTCTTTTTATTAACTATAATTTGTTTTTCGACTCAAAAACATTATATTCATTATTATAACCTATCAAATATAACTGTATAACAAGGGTCACCAGCTCATCATTTTTTACTCTAGAGTGTGATGGGGGGAAAAATCCATAGGTAAACATAATATGCCAGATCCATATGAACTTACATATAGACAGACCATTTCACTACTAAGTATTAACATAAATACTCAGGTACATAAGAAAAATGTTAACAACATAAATGGCAAAATGTAATATATTTCATGCACAAAATTTAAGTTTCTTGGGTTTTGTGATGAGAAATAAAACTATTAGTATCTGGAATCCAGTCTAGAACATTAACTAAAGACGGTGCCTACTTAATAGAATGGTAATGAAATGATTTTCAGCTTCATTGTGTACATTTTGGAATCATGAACTAAGATCTTAGTTCAGGGTTGTAATATTGAAGACATAATATAGTAAATGTCGAATTATACACTGAGGCTGCCCGTTTAGCTAAAACAATTATTTTACATGTGCTTAATACGCAATTGATCTTCAGCCAAGTACTAGTGACAACAACAGCATATAAACAGCAAAGACAATTAAAGAAATAAAATTATTTTTATATAGTTTTAAGAATCCAAGGATTTGTATACCTAGTCATGTACTATACGTCCATAAATAATATCAATAACTAAATTAAAATTTAGATGATAAATTGATAACAAGGATTTTAAATACTGAAAATGTTTAAGTGTTGGATCATATTATCAAGAGTAATAGAGCTGCACAATATTAAGAAAGGTATAAATGGTTAAAAATGTTAGTCCAAGGTGGACAAACATTTACATAATCGAGAATCAATACATGGATAAATTCTGGATACGTTTTAAGTTGCATAACTCATAAACTTATACCTAACTCAATTAATTTGTTCATACAAAAATAACTATTCTATTGCTAAAGATGGGTATGTCAAAGATTTAGATTCAAAAAATAGTTAGTATTCTTTATACCTACCTACCTATTAAATCATAAAAGCATTAAAAGCCAACCATTTTTGGAATTGATAAAAATTTTATATGACAAGAATTATAAAAATTTTATATTATAATTATGAATTGAAAAGAGGAGTAACAGTTGTTGATTTGATTAAGATTTCTATTGAGATTTAAGGAATATCAAAGTTCACACAGAAAGTATCACAAAGGCTATAATATACTAAGTACCTATAATTGTATCATAATAATTTTAAATCTAGGTATATTATTTGATTCAAAAAAACATTAAAGTGTAAAGCAACTTAAATATTGAATATAAATAACGATAAATCAGTATTTTAGCATCAAGTGCTAGTACAATACAATAATTATAGCAAAACAGTGAATTTAAATCATAAAAAAAGTTCAAATCAGTATTAGACCATAGGGAGCCGTTATATTATAATTTAATCATAATAATATGATCAGTGTGCTTGCAATGAACGTCAATGATGGGCAAATTGGGACGAGTCACTGGCCAAAAGAATTTAGCATACATCGGTATTTGGTGGACTCACTTGTAACGATAGCCGGCGGATGGTGAACGAAGAACCAACTGAACCGATGGAAAAACGTTCAGCAATAACCGAGAGATGATTTGTTTACACTGTTATTAATCAACCGACGGTTTTTTAATTGCAATACTATTGGGCAAGGGCTAATTGTTTCAATTTTATCTATTTTTTATTATTATTATTGTTATTTATACAAAGTACCTCTGGAACGCACAGCCGGCACTCAGCATTCGCTCACACCACACACACACACACACACATACACGCACACAAACACAAAACGAACGGACGAACGGAACTTTACAATATTTTACAACACGATATATCTGTACACCTATATAATATACACTATACACGCGTATATAATGTATATTATGTATGATATTTTTTTTCAATTTTTTTTTTTAAGCTATGATATAATATTTACAAATTACGCGGCCTCCGTCGGGAGGTTTTGTCCACCATTGAATTACATTAGACAAGGACGGTCGACATTGATAGTTCTCTATGGTGTTCGCTCCGTCGCACGCGCATACGGCCGCCGAATATTGTGACGCCGTCTCACTCCCGCCCGTGCGCGCCGATCGGGTGTTCCGCGCCAGCTTACGGTTCTCTCTCTCGCTTGCTGCTGCTACCCCCGTCGCCCGGTCAACAGATAAAACGGTAGCTGCCACAGCTGCGGCGGCACTGTTCGGGATATCTGATAACGGTGCTGCGCGGCGGTGGCCTTGCCGAAGTGTTGTTGATACGGTACGGTCGGCGAGTCGCCGGTGGGCGGTCACCTGGGTGCTTGTCACAAAATAATCACTATCACACAGGCCCGTACATTGAACCCATAGAGTACTCTATGATTGAACCGCACCGATGACAACAGTAACGCCATTGTTCCAACCATCGTTGACCGCCGTTTCTCCTCCACGCCAATCGTGAACACTACCATAATTCCGGGCGCGCCACACCACCGGCACTGCGACGACCTTGGATTATATTATTATACAAAACTAATACATAATAGTACTAAATAATATAAGGAATGAGCAGCTCATCCATACTATAAACAACATGCTATGATCGCAAAAGTCCAGATTTGGTCCAAGTCCACGCAGTACGTCACGTCATGCCAGTGGCGGCGCCAGAACTTTAATACCAGGTGGGCCAGGCTGGGGCCCAAATTTTTTAGGGAGGGCCAAATTGTTGACTTGATATATATATATAAACAATAGTGATGACAGGCAATTTCGCAGAGGGGTAAGGGGGAGGGTCAACTTTCAATTTTTTTTACACTTCATCGTGTAAACTTACTAAAACAATGATTTGTAAACATGTATTGAATTAATAGTATTTATTTCCTATATTCATGTAAACACTTTTTAATTTGTATACTCCCTAAACCATAATTACACTCAATACCAAACGAATATTTAATAATAATTTATTATTTTCGTATTCAGCCTCTGGAAAATACACGTTATTTATGAATTATGAGGCTTGAAAGCATATATAGAGCATAGTTGTCAACCCATTCAAAATGTTGTTCACGCCATCTATTATGACTTAATATTTTCATATTTTAATAAATCATGATTTATTCATGAGATATTTTTTAGTATTCTAATATGATTAAATTTAATTTTTGGGGTGGGCCACAGGGGGGGCCTGGGACTTTTTAAGGTGGGCCCGGGCCCACCCTGGCCCACCCCTGGCGCCGCCACTGCGTCATGCTTACCCGTATTATATTAAAATACGTCATTAAATTATAACTACTATACACTACGCTACGTCACGTGCTTATCGAAGGATATGACCGTCAAAAAGTTACGATCATACCTTGTTTTTATATCATGAGCTCAGCTAAGGCGTCTGCAGCCTTCGCTCCTTCGCTGACTGGCGACGTCCCACAGCCCACGACAGTACGGTATTGCCGCGTCAGTCCGTCACTGGCACTCACTGCAGGGTATGCAAAAATTTAAGACCGTGTGCACTACAACTGTGCACTGTGCAGGCCATTCTGCCCCAGAACGGTGTACACCAATGCGGTAGTATTGCAGTATTGTAGTATTTCATTGGTGAAAATGTGGGGAGGACTAAGCCCCCAACCCATTTCCGTCTAGCCTCCTTTTTAGTTTTCTAGGCTTGAAGCCCCTCCCCCCCACTCACATTGATGTTAAGAATGTTAGCCCACCCTGAAATGTTGATGGATTTCCGCGTATGACGCAATGGGACATGGCTGAATGGAAAATGCACATAAATGTGTATTAAGTCATGGTTATGACTGAATAGATCTACAATTATAATTTATAATATCTATATATCCAGTATTCCAGAGGCATATTTCAAATTTTTTGTTGGGTAGAATGTATATTATAAAAATATATATGAGTAGCGATCGGGACTGAATGTTGCACAAAAATGATCAAAACATGCAGGCTTAAATATATGCAGCTACATTTTTATATTACTTTCGAAAAATATGCATAAGACATATTACAATTTTAGAAATTAAAACTCAAAAGTAAATAGATACAATAAACAGTTAACATAACATCAGGTACATAAACATTAAACGGTAATAAAAACAATTTATATACGCCACACGGGTTTACGAATTTGAATATAATATATTGATTCATAATTCATATGGACATTATTGCATGTTTAAGGCATTTTTAAACTACCGTGGGATAAAACAACTTAATTTTTAAAAATGTACTGGAATATCTACTAGGTTAGAAATAACCATAGATATATTATAGAACAACAATTACTACTTGATTATTAATTATTATTGTTAATTGTTGTGAATAATTTATGTCGACTTAGTTAATAGTTATTTTGTGAAAATTAAAATAATTTACAAATATGTTTATATAATATAATATGTATATATAATAATAAAAAAAAATATAATAATATAATAATATATATATGTTTATATAAACTAAAATAAGAACTGCAGCTATACATGTATACCTACATGTATATCTTAGATGCTGAGCGAACTAGGAATGTATTGATTTTACAATAATGATGTGTTTTTTTTTTGTGGCCGGTAACGCTTTTTCTATAAAAAAAAAGTAGCTCTGATAGTCTGATCATCAACTTCGATGAAGATTTCTAATAGCAAATCGGATCTAAGTTCGTTTTTACCTTCAGGAAACACAAAATATCCGAAAATGTGTAAAATCTATTAATTAATATGATGATTTAGATATAATATCTAATGTCTATTGGGTATCAAAAAGTTAGCACCTTTTCGATTTTTTTTAGTTTTTTTTTTCTGCAAATCTTATTATAATTATTCGTTTGGTCTAAAAGATTAAAAATTTAACACAAAGTTGAAAGTTCTTACCAAAAAATTACTGAGTTAAATTATTTAACACGGAAGCTTTTAATTCTTTACCCTTTGTGACGACTGACGAGGGGGTAATAATGTAATATTAAATATTTAAATGTAATTATTATTTATAATATATTTTATAAATAGTATATGCCCACAATGAGGACTCAAAACAGTTTTTTTCATTGGGTAGCAATAAATGCCAATAATGTTATCAGTTTTTATTAAAATTGTTAATGAATAATGAGTATAGGCGCTAAAAAAAGCGCAACTAGGGAAGGCTTTAAGAAATTACTCATAGCCCCCTCAAGATGAATTAATCTTTGAAGTCATAATATATAATAAAAATTCAAATAATTCAATATAAATAAATAATAATAAAGCATTTATCATAGATATTGTACACTTCATTGTTGCCGTTCAGGGACTTTTTTTAAAACTTAGTAAATACTAAATTATAATAAATGTGACTTTCAATTTGTTAAGTAGGACTTAAAAGAAGTTCCAAAAAGTTAAATTAGTGATTAATAATAATAAAATAGGCAATGAATAGGGGTGGGGTCTAAGCTCCAGCTCCTTATTTTTTCCGGGTAAAAATCATATTTTTATGTAACTTTTAATGTAATGACTAATGGCTATAGAGTATAGACTAATGATTAATTAAGTGATTCAAGTGTTCATATTGTTGTAATTAAGTAGTAAGCTGTAGTAATGCCATAATATTATATTATATGAGGAGGATCGGATTCTATTCTCTGGTATATTATGAAAATTGAAAATATATACTATGGTAAGATTGTAGTACACAATATAAGAATATTATATTATCAATGATGACAGCGTTGAATTGTTTTCCAGAAATCAAGATTGCAGTGTGAATCATGAAATTAGATAATATGGATTATCCTAGTTCATGGTATGAATTATAAATGTAATATTGTAATGAACCTATTCTGTGGTGAAATCGCCTAGCATAATATCATGATTAAATCATGACAAATTTAATTTAATTTGTCATGAACTAAATATTTAGTCAAGCATAATATTATAATTATTGTTCTGTGGTGGTATTATAAAATCATGCCCAGGTGGACAGTATAATATCTGGTAACACGGACTATCTTAGTCCGTGTCTGGTAGTATTGTTCTTTGATCCAGTATTCCAAATTCCAATGTCACGATTTAAGATATATAGGTATTATATAATAATATTATATACTTAAATAGTTAAATCGTGTTCAGCGTTATTATGATGTCCTACCACAACTACAGTATACTGTATACCAGTGACTATTGTAACCACACGATTAACCACGATACCGTGTTGTTGGACAAAGCTGAACATATTTTTTCGTGTATACGGCAAACGTGTTTAGTGGAAACCCGCTTTTAACCAGAGTCCAGCCTGCAGCTGTGTGAGCACGATTTAAGATAGTACTATCTTAAATCGTGTGTGTGAGTGATACTCCGTGTTGATAACTATTAACGATATTGTGACTACGGGATTCAACGGGAATTACCATGCTGACGATTGGCGGCTGGCATTTCAATTTCTAAGTATTCTAACATTTCAACTTTCAAGTTATTTCTTAAATTTCTGAATAGCTTTTCTCTGTCATTTGAATTTGAATTTTTTACGTTCTGCTTACAAGTTATCACTATGCTTTGTGGGGTAATCTGAACTCTGTAGTATTGTAGTTTGTACTCACGAGTCGTTACCGTCTACCATTGACAACTACAATTTATTGTTAGTTCTTATATATTATAGTATTACAATTATAAAATCGACCTAAAAAACACACGTGGATCGTCAATAATCAGTAAGTAACAATTTTTATTAGAAAAGTTAGTTTAGACTTGTACATTGTACATTTGTACTTCTGTAATATATGTCTTATTTAATAAAAAATGGTGTTTCTTGTCAAATCCATTTTTTAAATTTCCTGATCAGTACATTTTGTTGTTTATTGTCTAAAATTATACAAATTAAGTAAAAGGTAGGTAGTATTAATCTCTAATACAAACAATGCTTGGAAGTACTAGTGGGTATGAATTTATTGGGAATGGTAAACGGACAGTTTCCCGGCAATTATTAAGATAGGACGTTTCGTCCCAGAGAGTTTTTAGCCATAGGACGTTTGATCCTCGGTATACTTTGATAATCTAAATACATTAGTTTTTAATGAACAATTTAATCTTTAAATGACAATACTACATAATATACAAATACATAATCAATATTCATACAATACAATTACAAATAGTCAAGATTTAAATAAATCACAATTGTATTAAGTCAACACAAATTGTAGTAAAAATTAATAAATTAAAATTAAATACTATAATATTAAGATAAATTATATAGGTATTTATTTTTAGGTCAACTGACTTATGTTTTTTAAATAGTATAAAATGTAATTATCGTCATTGTATTGAAATCCTGTACAATATTATGATTGCAATTTCT